GAAAGTGTGTGGTCACGTTGAGAGCATTGAAACTAACACTAAAAAACAAAATGTATGTGCATGGCTGACTGGAAAGCCTGTGGACTTTGTAAACTTTCACTCAAATATTTTTTTTAAAAATAACAAGAAAACATATGAGAAACACTCTAACAGAGCCTATTAGTGTGAATTCCCATCTTTGATGTAAATGAAGCAATCATTTTTATTCTTGTAATAATAATTTTTGTCTCTCTACCCACAATACAAGCTTAAAACAAGCCTGGAAGCAGGAGTGGCATCCACTTCTGAAATGGCTCGCCTCCGGAAACTATGAACAGTGCTCAGGTCTTTCTTTCACAGGGTCGCTGTGAGTCGTCTACGACTCGATGGCACCTAACAACAACAACAACAGCTACCCACAATGTCTCTCTAACTATGTGTTTAGTGACTTTCTCAAGCCCTGAGGTGATAATTTCTGGTCCTTCCGGGTTTCATCCATTGCTACTCAGTTTCCTGTTTCTCGATTAAAGGTTTTGTTACTTACTCGGTTATAGGACTGAGAAATTGTGAAGAGAAACATTTGCCTACAAATAAGTGAATCTTACCTTTTTTAAAAACAAAATACATTCCTGCAAATGAGAGAAGCCAACCAATATTCTTATACACAGAGATGACACATTCTTCCTCTGCTATTTTTCTTCATTCTTGCGCTGGGTCTTCTCATTTCTGTGACAATTTAAGCATCTTTTGCCTTAATTCTCATAACTATAATCTCATCCTCTCAATCGCTGAGAGAAGAGGGTACTGGAGGGTAGGTTCTTCTTTCTCCTTTGGACTTAAAAACTACAGGAGTGATCTCTGGAAGAAGTGCTTACTGTTGGGTGGCTTTTTCTCTGGAAAGAAGTGTTGTTTTGTGATTTTTCTTCCACTTAGACATCAAGATAAGGGAATGGGCTGCATTAAAGAGCAGAGATGAGGGATCACTCTTTTGCCTATTTTCCATGAGTGCTGAAAATAATGCAATTTATTAATTTTGTCTAAGTATCTGCCACAAGAGATGAGTCGTGAATGCATACACACGTATCTACAGGTTCATACCTGCAATTGTTGTTGTTAGGTGCCGTTGAATCAAGTATGATTCATGGTGAGCCTATGAACAGCACATCTGAACCCTAGCCCATCCTACGCCATCCTTATTCTCTCTGACACCTTAGAGTTCATTGCCACAGTCACTGTGCCAATCCATGTGGTCGATGTCATCCTTCCTTTCACTGACCTTCCACCTGTCCAAGCATGACGTACCTTTCCAAGGAACAGCCTCTCCAACAACATGCACAGAGCACATGAGACAAAGTTTCATCACCTTTGCCTCTGAGGAGCCACTTGGAGTATTCATTGCAAAATTGGTGAAAAAAAAATTAGTGTCCAGCATGCAGTGGTTAATAAAATTATGGTGCAAAGTTAGAAAGAGTTACCAGGAAGCCCCTCAAAACTTCAGAAGTGTACATAATAAGAAGAAAACATTAAGCTGAAATTGTACTAGGGACAAAGAGAGAGAGGAAGAGAGAAAGGAAGAGAAAAGGAGAGGAGGGGA